TATACATCATTGGAAAGAGCCCTAAATTCTCTATAAATCTGTGCAAAATTGAGTTTGATAGCTCGGATAGTTTCTGAGCAATTGAGCCTCAAAGTTAACTTTTAATCCAAATTTTGTCAAAAACTTCAAACTCAATTTGCTCAAATACTAGAAATCTGGAAACATTGTAAATTACAGGCTATTTAGAACTTGATAAAAGCTACAAATTCTGGAAATTTTAATGCAATTTGCTCAACGGTTACCGAACAATTGAGGTTTGAATATTTTGAAATCAGAATTCAAAGGGGGTACCCCTATGAAAAAAACAATTTTTTTATTTTTAAGTTTTGCTCAATTTTGACTTTATAAATCGATAGAGCGGGTCAAAATTAGTGGAAAACAACCCTGATATAAATTCCAAATGGCCATTTTAAGCAGACACAAAAATAAAAAAAAAAATCCAATTTTTGGCTCTGGAAAATTTTCAAAATCCTGACATGGTCATGAACAATTGCCCATATATTTGGTAAATTTTGAGCAAATTGAAATAAATTATACATCATTGGAAAGAGCCTTAAATTCTCTATAAATCTGTGCAAAATTGAGTTTGATAGCTCGGATAGTTACTGAGCAATTGAGCCTCAAAGTTAACTTTTAGTCCAAATTTTGTCAAAAACTTCAAACTCAATTTGCTCAAAAATTAGAAATCTGGAAATATTGTAAATTACAGGCCATTCAGAACTTGATAAAAGCTACAAATTCTGAAAATTTTAAAGCAATTTGCTCAACGGTTACCGAACAATTGAGGTTTGAATATTTTGAAATCAGAATTCAAAGGGGTTACCCTTATGAAAAATTCGATTTTTTTATTTTTAAGTTTTGCTCAATTTTGAGTTAATGAATAGATAGAGCGGGTCAGAATTAGTGGAAAACAACCCTGATATCAATTCCAAATGGTCATTTTAAGCAGACACAAAAATAAAAAGAAAATCCTAGTTTTGGCTCTGGAAAATTTTCAAAATCCTGACATGGTCATGAACAATTGCCCATATCTTTGGTAAATTTTGAGCAAATTGAAATAAATTATACATAATTGGAAAGAGCTTTAAATTCTCTATAAATTTGTGCAAAATTGAGTTCGATAGCTCGAATAGTTTTTGAGCAATTGAGCCTCAAAGTTGACTTTTAGTCCAAATTTTGTCAAAATCTTCCAACTCATTTTGCTCAAAAACTAGAAATCTGGAAATATTGTAAATTACAAGCCATTTAGAACTTGATAAAAGCTACAAATTCTGGAAATTTTAATGCAATTTGCTCAACGGTTACCGAACAATTGAGGTTTGAATATTTTAAAATCAGAATTCAAAGGGGTTACCCTTATGAAAAATTCGATTTTTTTATTTTTAAGTTTTGCTCAATTTTCACTTTATGAATCGATAGAGCGGGTCAAAATTAGTGGAAAACAACCCTGATATCAATTCCAAATGGCCAGTTTAAGCAGACACAAAAATAAAAAAGAAAATCCTATTTTTGGCTGTGGAAAATTTTAAAAATCCTGACATGGTCATGAACAATTGCCCATATCTTTGATACATTTTGAGCAACTGGGAATAAATTATACATCATTGGAAAGAGCCTTAAATTCTCTATAAATATTTGTAAAGTTGAGTTCGATAGCTCGGATAGTTTCTGAGCAATTGAGCCTCAAAGTTAACTTTTAGTCCAAATTTTGTCAAAAACTTCAAACTCAATTTGCTCAAAAACTAGAAATCTGGAAATATTGTAAATTACAAGCTATTTAGAACTTGATAAAAGCTACAAATTCTGGAAATTTTAAAGCAATTTGCTCAACAGTAACCGAGCAAATGAGGTTTGAATATTTTGAAATCAGAATTCAAAGGGGTTACCCTTAAGAAAAATTCGATTTTTTTATTTTTAAGTTTTGCTCAATTTTGACTTTATGAATCGATAGAGCGGGTCAAAATTAGTGGAAAGCAACCCTAATATCAATTCCAAATGGCCAGTTTAAGCAGACACAAAAATAAAAAAGAAAATCCTATTTTTGGCTCTGAAAAATTTTCAAAATCCTGACATAATCATGAACAATTGCCCATATCTTTGGTAAATTTTGAGCAAATTGAAATAAATTATACATAATTGGAAAGAGCTTTAAATTCTCTATAAATCTGTGCAAAATTGAGTTCGATAGCTCGAATAGTTTTTGAGCAATTGAGCCTCAAAGTTGACTTTTAGTCCAAATTTTGTCAAAAACTTCAAACTCAATTTGCTCAAAAACTAGAAATCTGAAAACATTGTAAATTACAGGCGATTTAGAACTTGGTAAAAGCTACAAATTCTGGAAATTTTAAAGCAATTTGCTCAGCAGTTACCGAGCAATTGAGGTTTGAATATTTTTAAATCAGAATTCAAAGGAGATACCCTTATGAAAAATTTATCTGAGGTTGCTTTACGGTTATAGAGTAGACTCGCACCAGTGTGAACACAAAAAAACCGGACGTGTGTGAGGAAAATAACATCAAATCTTGGGAATCAACTTAGAAGAAATTATTTAATTGAAAATGCAACTTCACACATTTCAAAGTTTTCCTGGAAAACTAATTGAGGAAAAATGTTGAAA